AAGAGAAACAATGAGAAAATAACCCAGGCAATATTCTCGTTGTTTCTCCTTATTTAAACAATGTGAAACAAAGAGAAACAAGGAGAGGCAATGTTCTCTTACTAGTTTCTCTTTGTTAGAACAACGAGAAACAATGAGAATATTGCCCTTTCTAACAAAGAGAAGTATTCTCTTTGTTTCTCCTTGTTTCGCGGGGTGTACAGGAAACTATATAATTTTTTTGAAAATTCTAACTGAGGGCCCTGATACAGATATAATTGTACACTTTGCACCTCTTCAGTTGAAATAAGCTCAATATTTGGGCAATTTGAATGCTTATTCTTGCACTAAACAGATCTATTTTAGTGGTATACACTTGTGTTAATTGCAATAGATTTATCGTATAGAGTTGGTGTGCAAATGTACGACCCAGTCGTAGATTTTTGGCTACTAGTAGTATCTAATTACGGTGTAATGACTCATGGGATTAAAAATTTAACTTGTACTACAGGTACAGTGGGGCATGTGCTGAATTTTTGAATCCCACATTCATGCGACCATGTGCACACTGTAGGCCTAGTACAAGTGAAATTTTGAATCCCACGAGTCATTACACAGTAAAAAGATGGCCAAAAATCCCCGGACAGTACAAAATACACGTAGAGGGTTAACTAGGGTACAACTCACTCGAACAGCCATAACTTTTTCCCCAACAGACGCTTAAGTATGATAAGCACATGGTTAAAAAGAGAATTCAAAGAGCTTTCTAATGGCATGKGGGAGTACGGCGTATGACGAATATTGACCAATATACATGTACGTATATCTTTAATTGCTAATGTAAGACTGGGTTGGCCGGAATCACTCCGCCAACGCTATACGATAGCATTGGTGCACTCTTCTTTATACTACCGTACTACTAGTAGCTACTAGTACTAGTATTCAAAGAGGCCCTGTTGCTGTCCATAGGATATCAGACCGTGGGTATGATTCATATATACAACACATACATAAGACACGTATCTATGATTCATACACACCATACATATATGACTCACTTGATCACATTGATCCATACAATCGACATGACTCATTTCATTCACTTGCGTGAGTGACTCGACTCATTTGATTTGCACATCACTCGATCCTCACACTGATCGATTCTAGATTTCATAGTTCATCAATCCTTGATAAGAGCATTGATTCACTTTTCTTCTAGCACATGATTTAAATCACTATTAGGATAGTCACTCCCACAGGTTATGACACCCTTCCAATAAAAATTATCACCACCATGGTGATCTCTTTTTAGGTGTGCTCTCTCCTCATCACACGACTCTACCAAACAATTCATTCACACACCTTTGAACAACACATTAGTAACATCAACAACGCATATACATTGTCACTGTCATTGTCTTTGAAACTATTGCTATGAAATCAAAATAACATTATTCATACATATATATCATATGATCCATCGTACCAAGAGGTCTAAGAATACGAGGTATGATTTGAGATGACGTTACAAAGAATAAAGATGTCACGAGTCCGGAATAGGAGAACCCCCCATGTAGATTCAGTACCAGATTTACACAGGGATCTAGTCAGAACTCTGGAATTCTCATGAAAGATCTTTAATCAAAATAATCTTTAATCATATAATTTTATTTTCATACACACTTAAGTACACGTAATCTCGTAATCTTGTGCAGCAACCGATCCCAATGTGGCTGCACTGGTAGCGCAAGAAAAAAAGAATTCCACTGCAATTAAAGTATTGAACAATGCTGGTTTTAATGGGGAAGTTTTTTGCAAATATGCACCACAAAAGAGCAAGCAGTTGGTAGAAGAAGTGATGGAACCCAATACTAGGGCAAGGCAAGATGCCATTGCAGGTGTGAAATATTCAAGTCAACACTTCATTGCAACTGGCAGAGATACGCTAAACACGATGGACTATTATACTGCCAAGGAACAAACAAGATGATTGGACAAGATTTAACACTTGGAAGCAAAGAAGAAGGTTGCAAACAAAGCAGCTAAAGCTTTGAGCAGCAGAGCTCATGGCTTGATCAAGAATTTTGCTTCAAAGGGAAAAGATCTTAAGAATGAAGAAGATGCAAACTCCCTCCCATTTTCAACTCTTAAGATTTTGTGCCAATGGAAGCAGCAAAAGAAAATTCCTGCAAAGAAAGAGAGGAAGCTGTTGGAAATGTGGATGAAAGTGAAGAATGTCTCCACACCTCCACCATCAGCATCTTGGACTGATGCTGACGAGGCTCTGTTGCAGAGACTGAAAGAGGACAAGATAAAAATCAGAGAAACTGCATATGGAAGAAGAGAGAGGGAGAGATTGAGGAACCAAGCTCTGCCATTGTTCATTGCAAGCTTGACTGAAGAAGAGTGAGAGTTGCCTCTAATATGCCAGTTGATGCGCTTGAATCTGTGAAGGGAATGGCTGTTGGTGAAGTTGCTGAAATGTAGGAGCAGCTTTTTAATGTTACCAAAGAGAAAGAGAAATCCGTTCTTGGAATTAATTCTGATTTCGATTTTTTTTTCATATTAAATGACAGTGTCCCGATATCAATTTCGTTTCGCCAATTCAAATTCTAGTTCTCAAAACGATTCTCAAAACAGTCTCCATCAAGACAAACTGTTCTGTGATGAGAAATCTGTTCTTGGAATCGATTCCAATTTTGATTATATTCCATGTTAGTAACCAGTGTTCGGATATTGATTTCGATTTGCCGATCCAAAATC